AAAAAGATCTTAACTCTACAAGATATTATTTTATTTGCACCGGCGCTGTTTTGATAGACAACCGCTGCAAAGTAATTTTGGAAAATTATTAAACAAATACAAAAACCCATAGGTTGCAAAGTGGTTTTCTTGTACAATAATTTTTGTAATATTTTATAGATTCGATTATTATTGTGTTCTTAGTATAACTTATAATAAACGACCTTATTGATAAATTGGCAGTACTTTACTATTATTATTATATATTAAGGTGCAATAAAACATTTGAACTTGTTTTACTAAGCGAGTTTATGAAAAAAAAAATCCTAAAACCTCTCAGAAGACTGTAAAGGCAGATTAGAGTAGGTTAGGTATATTTCAAAGGGTTAAAAGGGTCTATAACACATAGCCAATCGTTGTTTAAGTTTTTTGGAAAACTATGAAAAAATATGAGAACAATATTAATTTATTTTTATTAAAGATTAATTGTAAGTTCATATTTAAATACACCATTAATACTATCTTTAGTATTATCTTCTATTTAATACTGTCTTTATACTATTAATAGTATAAAGACCATTAGAATTCCACAAAGGGATCAAGCTTCACCACATTTTACATAATGGAGAGCACAAGAACAGTAACTTCGTGTGCGTCCAAAGGATTGTCAATTTAATAATTTTATTAAACTTTTGTATGTAGTAGAAATGTAATACTAAAAATGGTGTTGTTATTTCTTCCAGGCTTTGCTTATAAAAATTGAAAATCTTGAACGGAAGTAACTATACATTTGTTCGAACACATTACTCAAACGCACATAGTCTTTCATCAATAACTTTGAACTTACAAAAAAATACTTAAAACTGGTTGAACAGCAAAGCAATATAGAATAAAAAACACTTCACCATCGTTAAATAAAACCATGTTATTGTCTCAGTTATACGGGTTCGCATAACCATCACGCTTTTTTTTGTACAAACTTAATACAACAAAAGACTGAATGACACCGATTAAATTAGAATTGCAATCTTATAGGTCCGGAACACAGTAATTAAGTGGCTTTACATTTGCAAGTATTTTTAATTGAACAATTCATGCAAAACGTTCCATGAACGCATAATCCCAAATATTTTTTTTATTAAAAATACAGTAGTAGTAAATATTTGATCCTAGTTTAAACACAAATGTGATCTTATTCGCATTGTTTTTTTCGTTTTGTGTATATTTTTGTAAATTTATGTGTAGACGAAATGTGTTATTACCATTGACTAAAATCTAGCTGCAGTCGAAAAGTCGTGCTGATTTGGTTGTGTAGGTACAAATTTATACGTGAAAAGACAAGTTTCCAAACTTTAAGAAGTAGTGTTTAAAAATGAAACACATTTTTATTTGGATGACGATAATACTTCTAAACTTTGCTAATGGTGATTATCTTGGTAACCATACTGGTGAGTATCTTGGTGACCATCATATAATATATCAAACTAATGGTGAGGAGTTATTGAGAGGTGATTTTCAAAATGCTTATAACGAAGCAAGAAAAATCGAAGGAGTATATAACGATTTTGAGGTGTTTTGTGCCGATTTCGAAAGTATATCAATGAAAAATCCTTATCTGTTTTCAGATCACATCAATAGATCATTAAACAATATAACCTGCTTATTAACTTATCATATGTTACTTTTTATGCATTTGATGCGTCCAAAAAATTACGCACCTGAAAACATTAACCTATATGCTAGCATTGAAAATGCATGTCCTAAGTTTTCAAATGAAATGTTAGTGTCAGAAATCTCTATCGGTTACAATTTTGTATATGATGGAAGGGATTTATCAGATATTACGTGGGTATTTCATTTTTATACACACCTAATGAAACAATTGACATCGATGTCCAACGACGAAATAATATATATTAAAAAAAAAGAACTTTATAATGATGTTTTAAAATATGTAAAAAAAGCTATTACAAATTCTTGCAAATGTTTTGACAAAAAACGTAACTCTAAATCACCTGCAAACATAATCAGTAGTATATTTGAGTTAGATCATAGTTCAGCGCTAGATAAGCTTACAAATACATGTCAACGGCAGCCAAGTTTAAGGAATGATGTTCAAGGTGTTGATTTTGACCGGCTATACTTAAACAACGTAATTGAGGACAAAAAGATAATGGATACCTTTACTAAAAGTTTTGGAGGCTTAGAAAATAGTGACGAAATTATTGATGTGCTGTCTACTATGATGAAATCGGTTAAAAATCCAATGTCATCGTTATATATAATTGTTAACTCGCTGCAATGTGTTCATAAATATTTTATTGTAATGTTAAAAACAATAATGTTACGGGTTGTTCAGACATTTGTGAACCACTTGGAATCGCTAAAAATGTTTCAGCCAAAAACATATGTAGAATCATTTACCGATATATTAAAGGAATTCGCGAAGATCTTGAAATTAGGCATCCTGGATGATTTTCAAATAGTAATAAACGAGTTAGAAGAATGGAAAACAAAACTTATGGCAGTTATTAATATCCTAACGTCCAATAAATTGTCTGATAGGATCAAACTTTTGCTGGAATTTTATGACGATTATCGATATAGAGTGATAATAGACTACGACCAAAAAATATCATTGGATAAAGTTGGACTTGAAATAGATCTCAAGGACTCTGAAAACAATGACAAAGATGGAACTGACGCTACTCAAACCATAATACATACTGAAATTGTCGAAAATAATGTTCAGGATACTATTGAGTATGCCGAATGTACTGAAGCTACTAATATCACAACGAATAAGAAAGAAATAAATCCAAAGATTTTAAATACTATTAAATGTGCTGAAAAGTTGGTCAATTATTTAAAAAAAATTTTAAATGGTGTGAATTTTTCTGCTATTAAACATTTTATTTATCAAAAATTTCCTGAAGATTTAATATATTTTTCATAATTAGATAAAATATCTAAACATATGATTTGTTAAATTTATTTTATATTCCTCAGCCCTAAATCCGTGATAAAATTATTATAATAAAAAAAAACTATCAAAAACATAGATTTTTATTTTTCTATGATAAATTGGGATGCTGCATCGTGTGAGTGTTTTATTTTTCTTAATTGGTTCTAAAACTTAAATTATATTTATCTTCTCTAATTAATTTTTTTTTTTTGTAATAAACATTATAAATGTCTTCAGTTGCAGAATAATTTCAACTATATTCGTTACGTTGATATTTGTGATAGCACTACAAAATGGGTATTGGCTTTAGCACTATAAAATATTTCACGTTATATAATGTATAATACATTTTATATTGTATTATTTGATACAATTGTAATATCTCCTTTTTATGTTTAATGCACTAAAATCATAATTTTTACATACATTATAGATAATATTATTCATATTATTCATTTGTATGTATTTAAATCGTAATATTAATCTGATATTATACATATATGTAGGTTATATCGATATTCTTTATTCTTAAGATCTTAATAAACTGTTTTTCTTTTCCTTCTTCGAGTAGGTAACACATATTTAGTTGTAAAAATATCTTTTTAAAAATAATTTGATGATTCATATTGATATAATTACACAGACGGATATCGAAAGCAATAATTTCTTTTTTTAATTTAATTAAACAAATTTTAATCTGAAAATCTGATTACTTGTCCAATTGACAGATTGTAACTTGGATACATCCAAATATTCCAAACATTAATGAAAATCAATACACTACTTATTTAGTTTATAATTTAATTACAGCGTTATTGTCTTCTCGATCATACGACAAAAAATGTAAACTTTTCTAAAAAAAGAAAAATTCATAATTTCTTAAAAACTAAACAATTGTTTTTTAATTTATATTTCAAAAGTCTATATAAAATAACTGTTGAAGGTGAACTAATTCACCTACCTGAATAAGGGGCAACTAAATATTAACACTTGAAAGATTAATCAGATTTATTCATACAAACATACTAATTTTTTTTTAATAGGAGGGAAGCACAATTATTTGTATATAATAAAAATAATGTTATTAAATGTAACAAATTGTGAATTATATACCCCAGTAAGCCGTAAGCATAGTTTGTGGTGGGGTATATAAGGTACTATTCAAAAACATTTTTACAAATAAAAACGTTCACAAAACATAAAATAGAAATTTATTTCAATATTTTTAACTTTATAAAATTAAAATAAACAATATTTTATAACAGATTTTCTAATAACTACTTCCGGACAATTTTCTTATTATATAGATTAACAAACATTTTTTTTAATGCGTAATGGCAAAGAGTTAAACATAGAAGGATCTATGTAGACTAAAAAATGTTAACCGAAATCTTTTTTTGTGTACCAAGGACTTATGTCAAACGCTCTATGATCACCCTTGGATCCTAGGGAAGTACTCATTTTTACCGACTCGTGCAATATGGCAAATTGTTTGTACAAAGATCTTACTGGATATACTTAAAAGTCTTTACAGTTTAAAATAGTGGAGCTTTGCATGTGTTTTTTATTCATACATAGTCAAACAACAAAGTTTTGTTGTACTCCGAGAGGTCTTAGAGAGTTATCTGCACACCCTCCGCATACTATTTAACCATATTGACAAACAAATTTATAAAACGCTTGATATAATATGCTGCGCATTGTGTTAGTTGGAAATATTTTGTTTAATGTGTATAGATTAAAAACAAAAGGTCTCAAAATCATCACTATAAAGTATCGATATGTAAATTCCAGCGCAAATTGCAATCGATAATAATTAAACCCAAGCTTAATAATTTGATGTATTAAATTTTTTCTCATAACCATTAACGTTATGTTTATGAAATCAACTTAAAGTTTAAAATTGCCTTTACTGCTTTTTTAAACTAAGCCTCGAACCCGCGCTTAAATTTATAACCTCACTGATTTCTACCCACAGCCCGCTATCGCTGCCACCTCTGTTATCACACATTGTATTGACACGTCATCATTATCAAGTAGGTTGTATATAGAGTAGACTGTCAACAACAAGGTGGATATACTATTTATTTTTTTAAATAAAAATCATAATATAATCTTGTGTTTTTTCATAAAAAAAGATGCTTAAATTATAGGTATAAAGTGTTGTTTAAGATTCCATACCCGACGTTTTAAGTTCAGTGCCTAGGAGCTTCGACCAACGTTCTTGTAGCCACGTACCAGTAAGTATCGAGTGACGTTTTGATTGATTAATACCGTTTTATTTGTTCTAATGAAACGGATTAGTAATCTACATAGTATACAAGTTCGGTAGTGATTTTTAAAGACTGTCTAAACGATTCTTGCGTACATTCATTTTAGACTCAAGGAGTTAGGATCGCTATCAACGGCTGTAGGTTCGATACTTGATAAGTAGTTTAACACCTTATATTACATCCATCTGTCACCTTATTTCATTATTAACAATCAGTACTGTGATATCTTTTTACCAATTTTACTGTTTTGTGTATAAAACCAAGAAGATTAAACTAATCAATACGATGGCAAAAGTCAAGTGACGTTTGTCATCGTAGCAACGGTTTAATTAAAGTTACTATTAATATTTATATGTTTGCAATTTTCTTATCTTTTTTTAAGAAATATTATTTATGTTTGGAAGGAAATAAAGAAAATTGTAATTCAATTTATTATTTAATTTTTATAAAAGTTTGATGGTCATTTTTAGAATTGTCTAAACGATTCTTGCGTACATTTTAGACTCGTGGAGTAAGGATCGCTATCAACGGCTGTAGGTTCAATACTTGATAAGTAGTTTAACACCTTATATTACATCCATCTGTCACCTCATGTCTTTGTTAACAATCTGTACTGTGATGTCTTTTTATCAATTTTACTGTTTTGTGTATAAAACCAAGAAAGTTATAACCAATTGATGCGATGGCAAAAGTCAAGTGACGTTTGTCATCGTAGCAACGGTTTAATTAAAGTTACTTTTAACAATTATATGTTTACAAGTCTATTTTCTTTTTTTAAATATAATTTATGTTTGGAAAGAAATAAAAAACATAATTTAAGTTATTATTTAGAGAAAAATGCGAGGTGGAATAAAGAGTACTTTATATTGTGAAGAAAAACAGTTACGGCTATGTTTATTTCATTTATTCGTTTTAGTCAGACTTGCATTTTTATTTAAAATGATAAGACTCAGGCTATAGTAATTTAAAGATATATCATAAGTTCCTACAGAAAACAATATCTTATATGTATATAATTATATAAATGTTTTTAAATGTGTTTAATCTTGGCTTATAGTTATATTTTAAAAATATATTATGAGTTCTTGTCTAAAATATTTTAAATATGCTTTGTTTTTTAGAATTCTTATAGCGAGAAATAAACCAAGAATCCAAAGTAAAATGGACAATGGTTACTACACAACCACAATCAAATTAGAAGAAGATAGTCAGTCGATAGAGCAGCTTACCATTGCTTCTGATAAAAGGACAAATCTAAATAATACTGAAAAATCATACAAGTGTAGTCCGATGACCAACATAGAACCTCAAAAAACAATCGGCGGAGATGCGTACAAGTAATGTGAATTTTAATATACATTTTGTTAAAAAGAAATCATAATGTGATTAAGATTTGGTTTAGCGGTTCTTGGTGAAAAACTAGGGGTTTGTGATTTTTTTTATATAGATAAATTATATAAGAAATACATTTTGAATACAAAACAGTAATGTTTGACTTGGCTTTGTTACACTGAGTATCTATGAAATTCCCATAAGTAGATAGTTAAAATTAGTTTTTTCATAATAAAATATTTACAATTTCACCAGATTAAAATGTTGCTGTACAACAGCTGTTGTATGATTTCTTTTATACCAATTTAAAGTAATACCTACAACCTAATGATAAACGGTTTTTTGTTGTTCTTTTTATCAGCTATAAAATATTTACAATTTGTTTTGTTTTTAGTGTCGGAGAAACGTCCAACGGTACAGTTGTTAAAGTTGAAGTAGACTTTGAAAATGGACATTGTTTGGAGTCCGTAATTGAATTTGAAAAATATAATGTTTTCGATGTTCAAAGGACAAGCCAAGATAACCATTTAGAACAAATGCGTACATTTGTCTGCGATGTATGTAATATGACGTTTGGTACCAAAAGAAGAGTGGCCAGCCATATAACTCAATCGCATAGTGTACACTCAACGGCACGAAATGTCAATAGCAAACAGGTTGCCCAAAATAAATTCAGGTACAGAAAATTATTATTTTAGTAAAATATACAATTATCAATTTTGAAATATCAGTACATTACATATCTTATAAATTAGATTATTATAATTTACTGTCTTACTGGACTTTTTGTACAATCTTTAAACTGTACAATTACTTAGTTCATAATATAATTATAAATATTATATAAACAATTGTGAATAGACTATATTTGATTTAAACATTATAGTTAAAATAACTGTAGTCTTTTTTGTTGGCACTGAAGAGAAATGATTCAAAATAAATGCAAATTTGTATTTTAAAACTTATTTTTAATTAAAAATATTTATTCATTTTTATGCGACCTCTTATTTTTTATATTCAGTTTTAATTATAAGTTAACTGGGGGATACAAAGAAAGTTATACTTTTCATTTTACTACAGTAAATAACATTTGTGCAAATCTTACCTACAAGTAGATCGTATCCATTGAAAATAATCTCAATTCATTATTATATCTTAAATACGTTTATTAGAACTAAAAAAATATGATAAATGTAACGTTTTCTGTCTTTTAATACAATTACTTATACATTTCTCCATTCAGTATTATTATATATCTTATAAACTGGATTATTATAATTTACTAAAGTCTTAACTGGACTTTTTGTACAATCTTTACACTGCACAATTACTTAGTTCATAATATAATTTATAAATATTATATTATACAATTGTCAATAGACTATATCTGTTTTAAACGTTATTGTTTATTGTTCGACAATTTTTTGTTGTAGTCACAATGGTACGAGTTTTAAATCGACCAAAAAAATGAATAGTTGTCATTTTGAATCACGGATCGGAACAATTAACAAACGTCAAATAGCAACAAAGACTGGCAGTGAAGTTTTAAAAGAACGGCGGTTATTCCACTGCGAATTTTGTCAAAAATCGTATAACACAGAAAAGCAAAAAACTCTACATATGATAAAATTCCACAAAGGTTCAACTAACAATCATTCACTCCGAAAATCTACCACAACCCGGGCTACAATAAACAAACGCAAGCACATCGGTGAAAAGCACTTCAAATGTAATGTATGCCTGAAGTCTTTTTCTCAAAAATCTGGCCTCACAAACCACATACGTGTGCACTCCGGCAAAAAGTCCTTCCCGTGTGGTCTATGCCTTAAATCGTTTTCCAAAAAAGCCAACCTCACAAAACACGAACGCGTACATACTGGAGAAAAACCCTACAAATGTGATGTATGTTTAAAGTCGTTTCCCCAAAAAAACGACCTCACAAAACACGAACGCGTGCACACTGGCGAAAAGCCCTATAAATGTGTGGTTTGCCTAAGGTCATTTTCTCGTAAATCCATCCTGACAAATCACAAACGCGTACACACTCGAGAAAAGCCCTTTAAATGCGATGTCTGTGCAAAAACATTTAGTCAAAAAAATAATCTCGAGACACATGCACGTATACATACCGGCGAGAAACCTTATAGATGCGATATCTGTGAAAAATGTTTTAACACACAATATTACCTCAACAATCATAAATATATACATACCGGAGAGAAACCTTTTCGATGCAATGTCTGTGAAAAAACATTTGTTGATCAGCGTTCCCTAATAACTCATGGAAGGATACATACCGGTGAGAAACCTTTTAAATGCGAAGTGTGTGCGAAAACATTCAGTGTTCATTCTAATCTCAAAAACCATGAAAGGATACATACCGGAGAGAAACCGTTTAAGTGCGATGTGTGTGAAAAAAAATTCAGTCAACAATCTAGTCTCAAACTTCATGAAAGGATGCATACCGGGGAGAAACCTTATAAATGCAATGTCTGTGATAAAACATTTGGTCGACAGTTTTCCCTCAAACTTCATGAAAGGATACATACCGGAGAGAAACCCTTTAAATGCAATTTCTGTGAAAAAACATTTAGTCAACAAAGTCACATCAAAGTTCATGAAAGGGTGCATACCGGAGAGAAACCCTACAAATGTGATGTATGTTTAAAGTCGTTTCTCCAAAAAAACGACCTCACAAAACACGAACGCGTGCACACTGGCGAAAAGCCCTATAAATGTGTGGTTTGCCTAAGGTCATTTTCTCGTAAATCCATCCTGACAAATCACAAACGCGTACACACTCGAGAAAAGCCCTTTAAATGCGATGTCTGTGCAAAAACATTTAGTCTAAAAAATAATCTCGAGACACATGCACGTATACATACCGGCGAGAAACCTTATAGATGCGATATCTGTGAAAAATGTTTTAACACACAATATCACCTCAACAATCATAAATATATACATACCGGAGAGAAACCTTTTCGATGCAATGTCTGTGAAAAAACATTTGTTGATCAGCGTTCCCTAAAAACTCATGGAAGGATACATACCGGTGAGAAACCTTTTAAATGCGCAGTGTGTGCGAAAACATTCAGTGTTCATTGTAATCTCAAAAACCATGAAAGGATACATACCGGAGAGAAACCGTTTAAGTGCGATGTGTGTGAAAAAAAATTCAGTCAACAATCTAGTCTCAAACTTCACGAAAGGATGCATACTGGGGAGAAACCTTATAAATGCAATGTCTGTGATAAAACATTTGGTCGACAGTTTTCCCTCAAACTTCATGAAAGGATACATACCGGAGAGAAACCCTTTAAATGCAATTTCTGTGAAAAAACATTTAGTCAACAAAGTCACATCAAAGTTCATGAAAGGGTGCATACCGGAGAGAAACCCTTTAAATGCAATGTCTGTGAAAAAACTTTCAGCCTACAACAAAATCTTAAAATTCATGAAAGGATACATACCGGCGAGAAACCTTTTAGATGCGATATCTGTGAAAAAACATTCAGACAAGAATCTTCCTTCAAAACTCATAAACGCATGCATATTGGTAGGGTACAATATAAATGCCCAGTTTGTGAGAAATCATATAGTCGCCAGAATACTCTCAAAATACATCAAGCAAAAGCACATGAAGGGCAAAGGTGAAGAAAAGTTTTCAAACAGTCTTAACGTACCTGTTCGTTTTATAAACATGGTGAAGTATTTGAAACATCGATCAACAGTTGTTTAACAAGTACAAATTTAGTGTCGACCAATTAATGGAGCTCGTCGGTCTGAGTTGTGCCTAAAAAACATGTGTTGTCCATTTTTTTTTTTTTTTTCTTAAATAGTTTCTATAAACGTATGCCATTAATTTTTTTTTGTTTATTTCAATAAATTGTTTAAATAAATACATTTTTTAGTAGAATAACACGTAATGTGATTTTTTTGTTATTATGTATAGTGGGAGAAGTATTCCACGAACTTTGTTTTTACTATACTCTAAAACGTTCATACATGGACAACCTACTACTCCTGTGCCCTTCACATGGCTCATAGCCTCATAAACTTCACGTGACAATTTGGCAGTTTTAAAATAATTTTTCAGTACCTATTTGTTATTATTTTGCAATTTCTTTTTTACTTACGATTTAATTCAGATTTAATATAGGTATTTTAATTAGTTTTCTTTTAATTTTTTAATTATTATTATCGTTTAACTGAGAATAAAACTTTTAGACAAAAGTATAATTAAGTGTATAATTTATATTAGTGGACTTGTCGAGATTCAGAACACGGTGGTCTTAAAATAGTTAAACGTATATATTTTCATTCTTCTGATAAATTATATAGATTAAAGAAATTTTATCCTATGTTTTTTATAGTTAATTTATGGCCACAGCTGGTACATAGGCAAATACAATAATATATTTTATATCTACTATTTTTTGTTTTAATAAGGGAAACCTAAAATAAATGGGGAGTATTGCACTTTGACTGTAGTCAACTTGTAGGTTGCTATGTGAGAGTGTGAATCAACAGTCAACCGGTAATGAAAATATTTTCATTATAATACTATTAAATACTATGTATGGTTGACTATGGCAATACATTTCATAGACAGACGATGAACTCTGGCCGTATCCGTCCTAATACTAAAATTTAATTTTTAAATACATAATTGCCGTTAGTTACAATGCTTTTATCGATATTTTTATTTTTATAAGTGATCACTTTTTTCTATAGAAATGACTGTGGTATTCTGACAAACAATACCGAATCCTTGTTGTTGTACCAATAATGTAAATATACATTATACAGGGTGGGGCAAATGATATGCATCTGTTTTGAAGCGCTGTAGAAAAAATATTTTATTATTCGATTCAGTAGACAATCTAGTTTTTTATATCAAGTTTTAAAGATTACATCACTAAAATAGTGAACCATTAAAACTTTGTGTAAAAAACTAGATTGTCTACTGAATCGAACAATATAAATCTCATTTCTCTAAATTGAATAGTTTTTTTTTACTACAGCGCTTCAAAACCGATGCATATCTTTTGCCCCACCCTGTAGTTTGAACTCTAAATTAAGATTTTGCGAAAAACTACTTTTACCTCTGTTCTTAATAACAATGGCAAGTATCGCTCTTTTTAATTTTGCCCTAAGAGAATGCTTAACTGTACATATAATATGTTTTTATCGGCGAATCAATTGTGGGACAATAACAGATACCTACACTTGTGTGTAGTAATTGTATGTTTAAGCACTGTACATCTTAAGTCATACATTTAATTTAAAAATAAATCGAATACAAAGTTAATATTCAACGTTTTTAATTAAATGAATATGCATTTATATTACCTCAATATTGTTTACCTCCACGCAGCGGTGTACCTCCACTTTAGGCAAAACTCGTTATCACACAAATCCACACTATCACAAATCTGTTAGGAAAATTTCTGAGTGTTGTAAATAAAAGTTTTGTTTTTTGTTAATAATTGAGATTTCTTTATTACTCTCTCCTTTCTGTGAGTTATAACTAGTTAATTTAAATTTAGCGCCATAGTAACAGTTTGTTTTCATTGTTGTAGCTACGGATCCGATTCGTGAGAATATCTAAATATTAAATCATAATAACTTGGTCGTGTTTCGGTATTTCGTTTCGATTTGCGTTACAGTTCATATTTGTCTTGCCTGTTAATCATTAATTATAAGTTTTGGAGCTGCAGCCCTAGACAGCGGTATACGGTTTTACGTTGTGTGAGTACCTACTGATTTGTATTTCTTACTTATTTACATTATTGCTGTGTTTTCTGTCTTCCATTGGCTTAGACTACTGCATGTGTATATCTAACTTTAATCTTTATTGTGTTACCTTCTTACCTACAATTCATACTTGTAGTTTTGTGTTATTAATCTAATTTTAGTAAATTTAATTTTGTTTTCAATGGTTAATAAAACTATCTGTACTACTAAAAAATAAAGTTAAAATAAATATAAAGTAGTTAAATAACACTTTACACTTTACTCATTACAAACATTAAAAATGTATTAGTTATGCCGTCATCTTTCTATAAACGCTTTTCAAATATTATTCCTGCATATTCTGATGATAGCAAAGCCAGTTGGAATATTTGGAACCTAATAAAATATATCTTATCATCTGTTTGGCCAATACAGTGGCGCATCTATACAATAAGGACAACAACATAATGTAACTTAAAATTTGTTTCATAACACTCATCGTTTTTGTTTTATTTGTAATATAATGTATTGTTAAAATAGCTATCGTTTGTTAATTTACTCTGAGGATTATTTCGATTACTGCAAAATAGAAAAATTAAATACGTAAGTGGTTGCAGAACTATTATAGTTTGTAAAGATAAACTATGAAGCTTAAAATATATTCATAAATTTAAAAAATGTTTTGCTTAAACTAACGACACAAAAAAGGAATATACTGTAGACTCGATAATATTATTATATTTTTTTATTATTATAATTATTAGCAGGTTAGATTATATATTTCTCTAGGATATTCTTTTTTTATTCATTGTCCAATTAAAACAATTTTTATTGTTCCGTTATATCTAGTTTGTTATTTTTGGAAATTTAGAATAATTTTTTTAATTCTGAGTAATTTACTGAATGATTGAGTAACAATAACTAAATAACACAATGTCAAAATGTTAGTTTCATGATGTGTTGATTTCTTTTTTTTTAATTTTACTTATCGGACGATTGTAAATTTCAACGAATTGCTTGTAAGAGCTACTTGAGTCAGATAGTAAATAAAAAAAATCCGTCAACAATCTACGGTTAGCGCTGATGATGGCAACATAGTTGCTGTAATACGTATACGCTGAAGAGTATATTTTTATTGTGGTTAGAGTTTATTTGTAATTGTAAATAAAATCCACTGGTTCTTAAAGCATTTGATTGTCATTCAAACCTAATAAGTTGTATGTCGTGTTTCCCGTACTACATATTATTATTATACTTACCTTAAGATACGTTAAATAACTAATCTGTGAATGTGGAAAACTTTGTTATATTTAAAAATAATTTAACACTTTTTTTTACAAAAATGATTTGAAATGAGGTGAAGAGAAGTGGCATTGTAATTAATTAGTTGTAGGTTTCATGTAACACAAAATCGGTGGAGAGCAAATTAACAATTTTGTTTAGTTGTAGGTTATAAGATAGAAACGATAGTTAATAATAGGCTTAGAATTTGTTTGGATTAGTATTTTTAGATCCAGGAGATGTTTCTAAAAACTAAACATAATTTACGTATTATATAACAATTTTCTACCTGAAAACATAGAAGTATATAAAAGTAGTGTACTTAGAACTACAGCTGAACCTCATTTCTTCAGGTTTTTATATTTAAATTATGTTTTATAATATTTATATATGTTTTAGACAAGCTAGTTTTACAATTAGTTGACAATCAAACACAGAAAAGGTACATCTATATTCTAAACTGTAATACAAGCAAACCATTATGGAAGTTATTATGAAAGAACACTTTGACAAAATTTATCAATTCTATGAGTAAGTCTTTATTTGATAAGTTTTGTACAAGTATTATTTATTGCCGATAAATGATTGTATTTTTATTGTTCCCTGAGGAGTCTTGGGGTGTAGGTATAAACTTTTTACTTTAATAGGTATATACAAGTGATAATTTTACCGTAAACCACTCAATATCTATTAGTATTTAATAAGAATTATTTATTTAATAAGAAATTCCATTTTTATTATTATTATTATTTTTTATTATTAAGATGGGCCGATACCATTTTTATTGATACCCGATATTCCGATATATGTTGCCGATATAAAACCGATACCCGATATATTAAAAAATGCATAATTTTTTGCAAAAACTTTGAACCGATATTAACACAAAACCGTTATCACAAACTGATACCCAATAAAACCAATATTACATAATATTACCATTGATTATTATTGTACAAATATCGATATTTGTTCATATGTACCCCCTCCCAGTTTTTTGATTGCTACTTTTGAAATAAAATAGTAACGCATTAATTTCATTAAATTTTTGTAATCAAGAATAATGTATCTAAGATTTTGACTGGTTGCAAACCGATCATGAATCAATACTTTTAAAGTTATCCTTTCCTCCTGCCCTTAACTTGAAACTCTGATAACTTCAAAAATAGTTATCCAAAACTGGTTATGTTATCGACCAGCTAAAAACTTTAGTACGTTGTTCTCAATTTAAAGTGTTCATGAAATGTATGCGTTACCATTAAAGTATCAGAAGTTGCTATCAAAATAATGTAAATTGAGAAGGGATAAAAACAAAAAAAGTTGTAAATTTATAAAAACATGATGGAAAAAAAAATGTTATATTAAACCCTATAAGATATTGAATGGTTCACGGTAAAATTACACTGTATATTCATATACCTATATATATACAAATATTTGTTTTAAAAGTTATGGGGTAAATACTTTTACTATTTTTACATTAAATAAAACAATAATTAAAAATGTACTTTATTTGTAAATAAAAAAACAAATGGTGTTAATTGAATTTTAAAAATGTATAATTCAAATCTTTCATTTAAAAATCATGCATCATTTTTCTACTTAATCCAAATAAGCAAAACTTATATTATGGCTTTTTCAAGAGCTTTGTTTAATTTTTTTTTTGGTTTACACTACGAAAAAAACGAGAAAACAATAGTTTCTACACATTATTATCAATATTTATATAATTTTTTAAATATCATGATTCTTATTCCACATTTATGTACACTTATTGCATATTTTGTTATTGCTTTTCAGAATTTTTTTTTTTTCAATTTAAATTTTATAGTAATTTATTACTACTATTGCAAATAAATACATTAATATGAATACTTTTTTTTAGGGAAAAAGAATTTTGTGATGTTACCTTAGTTACCGATGAAAGCTTAAAAATAGAAGCACACAGAAAAATATTGGCCTCTGCGAGTCATGTATTTTATACGATGTTCAGTGGACAGTTTAGAGAAAGAAATAAAAATTAGATTCTTATAAAAGATATAGATTCTGAAATTTTAGAATTTGTGGTGAAATTTGCATATACTTTTAAACTGGATACTAAAGAAAATAATTGTGAAGTAGGAAATATGCAATAGGATATACAATTTATAAAATATTACACTATTTTTATTTACTTGTTATTATATTTTGTAGAACTGTTGATGGCTGCTAATATGTATGGTCTAAATCATATAAAAGAGTTATGTTTTAAACATATTAAAGAAAACATAAATCCTACAAATTGTGTTAGTTTTATGAACAATTCCAAATCAATATTAGATGAAAAGATTTACAATATTTGTTGGCTATATTTTTTATACCATTTCACGTTAGTAATCAGGTGCAACATATGATCGCAACGTTTAAATTATTAAATAATAAAACATAGAGTTTTTTAGTATAATTGTAAATTCGGATCGAGCATTAGAAACACTTTATGGCTTCGAATTTGATGATGTTGTCAAGTTGATTGCACATGATGATTTAGTAATTGATTCTGAGGAAAAGGTATAATAACTGTGACTTAATAATAAATAAAAAAATTACATGTTATAATGTTGGCTCCATTACAGTTATTTAATAATAATTTAAGATTTTATTTTAGATATTTGATTTTATCATTGGTTGGATACGCTATAGCACAGATGAACTTAATGACTTGTTACCGGTTCTTATGAAATATTTACGTTTGCCTTTAATTTCAAAAGAAGGACTACTAAGGATTTATGATCATCCATTAGTGGGAAATAATACTAATGGTAAGCATATTATATTGTTGATATTCTTATCTAAATTGTTGCCCTTTATTTGTACATACAATAGTGCCTATAAGTGAAATATATTTTTGATGTGTCTTTTGAATAAATATTATTATTGTTATGTTTTTTTAGTTATGAGAGGAATTTTAGACAATATCACTAAAATTTACATCAAATCAAAACCACCAGCTACTCTTGGAAGATTTTTACACGTTATAGGTACACAATAATTGTACTAGTTATGTGCTTGTATCACCTGACGTTTGTGTTTATGTAAATTCAGATTGTTTTTGCAATCACTGGTCATTCAAACAGTGCCGGTTCCTGTGTAAAGTATATGGATATTAGAAACGTTAATGACCTAAAATGAAAACCGAGCGATCATTTTTTTTTTTACCTCCCCGTGAAGGCTCAAAGATGGTAGTATCTGAAAATGGGATAATACTTGCCATCGGTGGTGCAGATGAGTCTGGTCGATGGGTCCATCATGTAGACGAGCTTGATCTAAAGTCAGAATCAGAACTATGGGTTTCTACAAAGCCATTGAATAAACCACGAACAAATTTTGCTGTTTGTACATAAAAACAGTACATATATGTCGTATGTATTAATTTTATTGTAGTTAACATAACGAATACACATTGTGTACAAGAAAATATAGATGTATATTTTTATGATATAGGTTGGTGGCTATGATTTCTCAAATAAGAATTATTTGAATTCTGTAGAATACTATGATACAAAGTCAAAAGTATGGACGGAGATTATTATACCAATGCCCACTGCTCGATACAGGTGCACTGCTGCAGTAGTTAATAATAAATTATATGTTGTATGTAAACACAATTTAACCATAAATACCATGCCTATGTACTAAACAAGTTTCTACTTATATTTGATTACAAAATAATTGTAAAAATCAATGGCAATTGGTTGACAGTGCAGGAGAGTGATCATCCCTATTTAGTCATATCATTACATTTAATGATATTACTCTAAATCCTATGGTATTGAATTATAATACTATTTTTTTTTTTAATACCTTTTTGTGAATTCAATTTAGTCTGAAAATTATTTACACATTTTGTTGTTGATGATTTATTTGTATTTGGTTATACTTTGGGAGAACTTGTAAATATATATTGTAAATATATTACCCAAAGAAAACATGGCATCTGGTTGCCAGAGCAGAAGAGACATCAAACGTTTTTGTTATAATATTATTGCTTTTAATGATGTTACACTATAATCATATTATGGTATTCACTTATAAAATTACTTTTTATTAATTAAATTAATAATACGAATAAAAATTAGTTTTTTAATTATTTATTTTTTTGGCCTATAATTTCAACTACAAACTATGTTGGAACAGATAGAGAGAAATCCCTTCGTTAGCTTCTGATGTCTAGTACCTCTTATTATTCATTTTTAATTATAAATTGACTAGAAGGTACAAAAGAAGAATATACTTTTCATCTTATTCTAGTAAATAACATTTGTGTAAATCTGACCTACAAGTGAATTGTATCCGTCGACAAAAGTCTCAATTTGTTATTAGATCTTAAATATATTTATTAGAAGTATAATGATATGATAAGCATATCATTATAAGATTATAATATTTTCCAATATTATGATTCAATTATTTTTTTGGACACTAAAAGTTGTATTTAATAAAGTTTTAACTAATTTCTCTTACTTAATTACAAAATCAATTGTTGATGAATAACTAGTTTAATACTTAAATACAGTTATGTTTGGTGTTATAAAAAGTTAAGTGAAATGTGAATTTTCACTGTGCTTCTAAATTGATTAAAATTTAAGTTCCTCTATATTTATTTAGATATAAGTAACTTGTTTTGATTTTTTATATATTAGTAATTTTTGTTTTAAAACATTATTTAAAAAAGTACCTTTAACAAACGCAAAAAAAACTTACACTACTCTAACTTTCCTTAACCTAGTATACATTCTTCCCGTCATGCCTACAATTAAGAAAAACAATAAACTGATACATTAGTAGTTAAAATCTTGTTTATACAGCTGTAATATAATAGTTTGCGATTTGTTATTTACAGAGATAACAAGACTTATAGTCATATTACAATTAAACATGAAATTTACCAAATTGATGATCATGTGTTTGAAACTGTGATTTAAGTGGAAGAACCTTTGATTCTGCAGTCAAATGACAAATTGATGGACGAAAGAGAGTCGGTCAGATGCAGTGTGTGTTCAAAACAATTTTCATCTAAACGAAAACTGAACCACCATATTACACAATCACACAATGGTCGTTCTAAAACCGAGGAATGTTTAATTTTAAAAGAAATTGATGAAAATACTTCAGCGTAAGGCGATTTTTTAATTTGCATAAACAGTAATAGCAATAGTCAATAGTCATTCTAGTAAATAACAGATACTACAGCTTAAACTTTGATTACAATGTACAATAAAGCTTATATGATTTTGTAGTATCATATCGTTTATAGATCATGTTTTGAAATAAAATAAAATATTTAAGCTAATTTGACTTAAAAATAAAATAAAATTAAAATCTTTAAAAAAAAAAAATTGTTATCAGTGTTCTAAAATATAACATTTTTTTCCAAATAAGTTCATGTTTTTTTAAAATTATATTTAGTTTATATTTGTAAAACAATGTGAGCCAAACTGTTTTTCTTTTAAACCCAATAAGCATGTTAGGTATAGAAATACACCTAAATTTAAATTCTAATAGTTTCTTCAAAATACTCTTAAATTAAATTTTATGTTTAATCTATCTTATTCTTAAATTAATTTATGTCATAAAAAATCATGAAATATAATTATTATATATTTTTTCCTATTCATATAAACATACTATTTAAGTTATAAAAATAATTGTTTCAACTAGGTGAATCTTTTTATTTTTGTGGTTTGTTAAAGTTAATTTTTAATACTTTACTGACACGAAAATTCTTCAAAACTATTTCACAATTCAATCAAGAGTAGAGCTCATAGGTCGTCAATCGAATAGTATTGTATTTTTTTATATAGAATAATTTATTCATTACATATTTATTCTAAAAGTGTTCATAATACTATTGTATACGCTTCGAACTGTATCTGTATGTTATAATACGACTAAATATTTAAAAGCTAAATCGTTAGTTACCTATTAAAAAAACAAAACATTAACATAAAATATTATATTTTTTTTTAAAGTTGTTAGTCTAATAAAAATAAAAAATAAAATTTATATCAGTTTTATAAAAATTTAATTTATTGACTATTTCTTAATGATATCTGTTTTTTTAATTATATTAACTGCTTTAATTTTAATAGAATAATATAAAGTATTGCACTTTTGTTTGTTTTAGTATTAGCTGCAATAACGACGATTTGAATGTCAAAATTGAAAAAGAATGGGCAATTTACCTCCATGCTGCGGTGTACCTCCACCTGTGACAATTACTTGTTATCACACAAACACACTATCACAAATCTGTCTAGAAAATGTTTGCATTGTCCTGCAGTTTGCGTTAATAAACGTACATTAAATACAAATTTTGTTTTTGTTAGTATTTGAGATTTTTATTTTGTAATCGCTCTTTTCTGTGAATTATAACTAGTTCAATTAGATTTAGCGCCATAGAATCAATTTGTTTTCATTATTGTTGCTACGGGTCCGATTCGTGAGAATTTCTAAATATTAATCATAATAACTTATTTTATGATAAATACAACCGTATTGCGTCGTGTTTTGTTAGTAAGTTATAATTGTGTTTTGTCTTGCCTGTTAATAATTTATTATAAGTTTTAAGTAGCAGCCCTGAACAGCGGTTTACGGTTCTACGTTATGTGAGTACCTACCGTTTTGTATACATTATTGTCGTGTTTTCCGTCTTCCATTGACTTAGAATGCTGCTTGTTAATAAATAGAATCATAATCCATATGTGTTTGTTTATTACTTACTAATTGCTCGGAGTTTGGTTGAATGACACAGAATGTCACTTTAATTTAACGTTGTCGACAAAATGGGCTATCCTCTAGTTTTAATCTTTATCGTGTTAGATTCTTACCAACAAGTCGTACTTGTAGTTTTGTGTTATTCATCTAATTTTAGTAAATTATTATTTAGTTTTAAATATTAAAAAAAAACAAAATATACCACTCAAAACTTTGTTGGTTTTTTATTTTTCAAATCATGTTAACTAAATTATTCTTTGTTATATCATTGTTATTACTAAATTTAATACTTAATAAAATAGTAAAGTTTTGTAATTAATTTGTCCTATAAATGTCAATTATAGAGTTTGGAAGCGGTATAAAATGTTGAAAATTAAACTTGAAAATGATGAAACAGAACAACACTCCTTTGAAGTCATTGCACCCAAACCGTTAAATGTGCAGTTCAAAAACAATGAAATTTCTACAAAAGTAGAGTGTATAGTTAAGAATGAAGTCAACAATACTTATGAGTAGGTCAACTTTAATACCATTTTTTTACTAGATAAAACAATAAAGCTTTTGTAACTATGTCTTCCTCCGTAATTAAAAAAAAAATTTAATTGATGATGTCATAATTCATTTTCAAAATAGTTTTAATAATATTGTTTAAAGTTCTTTATTCTTTTTTTTTGTTACTATTATGTATATATTTTTTTTAATTTTAATACAAAATATAAATTATGTCAATTTTGTTTGTTGTAAATTTAGCTGCAATAACGACGATTTGAATGTCAAATTTGAAAAAGAATGCTTCAATGATTGTGTTTTCGAATCAGATATTGAAATCGTAAGGCATGAACTGTTTGATGCTGAAAACGAGCTAACACCGTTGTATGACTGCAATTACTGCCAAAAATCGTTTAAGACAAAACGACGAATTAAAAACCATATTTTAAGGTAACCACGGACATAACAAAGAAAAATAGAATTTAAGCATAAATTACCGTTTTAAGTAAACGTTGATTGACGGTTTAGTGATGAGGTTGTTTACTTTAATTATTAAAAGAATCCTGCATGTCACGAATAACAGTTATAAGTGAGGTTTGATTACTAACAGTAAGCATAAGTTACTTTCAAGTCCTCCTTTGGGGATATTATGGTGTCTAAACCGACCTACTAATCCATGATTACTAAATAGCAGTTACTTGTGAACATAAAAATAACACTATCGCCTTTCTAGAAGCTCCTTAGGGCTGCCACTAAAACTTTCAAATTTTCCTGTTTCTCTGGCCCACTTTTTATATATATATATATATAAATAATTTGATTATATTTAATGAAAATATAGTGTAGGTACTGAAAATAACTGTCGATAGGAGACCCAATCTATGTCTATGGCCACTCAATTTATATTAAAAGTTAATAATTACTGTTGCTTTATAAATAATACTGTAATATGTATTAGTTGAATAAAAAATTACCATGCAAAATAATTTTACCTTTAAGGGGGCTCCATATAGACCATTTTTTCAGTCAAAATACATAATTTTCATTCCATCGCACAGGCCTAGCCAGTGATCCGATAGGCAATCTAAAAACGGATCTGAATTTGTCATGAAGTTTACTTAGGATCGGTCGAAGGACTTTTTACAATTTTTAATTTTAACCCTTTTTAAATTTTATTTTAAAATGTTGAAATTGTATAAAATGTTCAAACGTGTTTTATACATAGTAGGAATAAGAAATCAAAAAAGTATGTCGACCGATCTCAAGTAAATTTCATGACAAATTCAAATCTGTTTTCATATTACTTATCGGATCACTGGTTGAGCCTGTGCGATGGAACAAAAAATGTATGTTGTATTAACTCAAATGGCTTTTACTCATAGACAAAATGATTAAAATTAAAAATAATACCTTGAAGCTTATACAAATTAACCGGTAAATTTATTGACTTGGTCGAAATTTATTTAAACTAATTTTTTCTTAAATATTGCCTATACAAAACTCCTTAAAAATGGTCTGTATGGAGCACTCTTATTATATTTCTAGTCTATGTTTCGCGTTTAATTGTCTGTAATAAAATTAAAATTGCATACATTCATGTTTACTCTTATTCTTTTATTTCGTAGCTATTCTCAATGCTAATTTACTTATAGTTTTCGATGAGATGAATATTTAATTCTATGATTCTGTCGTACTTTCCTACTTCTTCAACTCCTCTTTATTTAATTTTTTTTTCTTAAAAAATAACATTCAGAGTATTTCTACTGCTAGTAATATTTTATAATATTTTGTAAATTACATACTCGCCCTTTTTATATTCTATAAATGTATACAACATGTAGACTGACCGCTACTTATTTAGATTTGAATTATTATAATACTTACGAAGTCATTTAAAATCCAATATTTAATGCATTGTAAACAAGATAAATATATAAATATTTTCTAATTTCTATATTTGAAAATATAAAAAATTATATTTTATATTTTTATAAAATAACACAAGTAAAAATATTTTCAAACGGGTAAATTTCAACACTATTATGTGTCGTGTGCGAAATCCTTGAAATTATTTCTTAAAAATTATGCTTGATTGATGCATTAACACATATAATAATAGTAATATTAATATTTGCTATAAAATATTGATCTTAAATTAATTTATTTGGTTTCATGCGTGTTCCAGTATTCATTATCCGTGTAACGAGATCGACACTTCAAATTGTACAAACTCTATTGATAACTATACTCGAAACAAAGATGTCCTATTTAATTGTGGTATTTGTTTAAAAAGTTTCAAATCAAAATCAAACCTGAAAAGACATTGGCGGATTCATACGGACGAAAAGGCTTTTAAATGCAATGTGTGTGAAAAAACATTTGCTGATTAGCGTTCCCTAAAAACTCATGGAAGGATACATACCGGCGAGAAACCCTTTAGATGTAATGTCTGTGATAAAACATTTGGTCGACAGTTTTACCTCAAGATTCATGAACGCATACATACTGGAGAGAAACCCTTTAAATGCAATTTCTGTGAAAAAACATTTAGTCAACAAAGTTACATCAAAGTTCATGAAAGGGTGCATACCGGAGAGAAACCTTTTAAATGCGATATCTGCGAAAAAACATTTGGTCGCCAGTTTTACCTCAAGATTCATGAACGCATACATACTGGAGGAAAACCTTTTAATTGTGACGTTTGTGAAAGAACATTCAGCCAACAGTCTTCTCTTAAGACTCATAAAAGGATACATACCGGCGAGAAACTTTTTAGATGTAATTTCTGTGAAAAATGTTTTAATAAACAATCTTACCTCAAAACTCATAAAAGGACACATACTGGCGAGAAACCTTTTAGATGCAATGTGTGTGAAAGAACATTCAGCCAACAGTCTTCTCTCAAGACTCATGAGAGAACACATACCGGAGAAACACTTTTTAGATGCAATGTCTGTGAAAAAAAATTCATTCAAAAATCTAATCTCAAAAAACATGAAAGGATACATACCGGTGAGAAACCATTTAGATGCGATTTCTGTGCAAAGACATTCTGTCAACAATGTGATCTCAAGAAACATAAAAGGACACATACTGGCGAGAAACCTTTTAGATGCAATGTGTGTGAAAGAACATTCAGCCAACAGTCTTCTCTTAAGACTCATAAAAGGATACATACTGAAGAGAAACCTTTTAGATGCAATGTGTGTGAAAGAACATTCAGCCAACAGTCTTCTCTTAAGACTCATAAAAGGATACATACCGGCGAGAAACCCTTTAGATGTAATGTCTGTGAAAAATGTTTTAATACACAACCTTCCCTCAAAACTCATGAACGCATACATATTGGTGGGGTACGTTATGAATGCTCCGTCTGTAAAAAATCGTATGGTCACCAAAATACTCTAAAAAAACATCAAGCAAAAGCACACGACTAAAACCTCATATACCTTTCGTGACTATTTGACAGTTTTAAAATAGTTTTGGTAACAATTTTTCATTATTTTGCTCTTTATTTAACCTACAATTTAATATGAATTAATGATATACGAGTATATTTACCAATTTTTTTTATAGTTTTTTAATGTTTACTATCGTTTAACTGATCATTACTTTGACGTTTTCTATTTGACTTATAATTCTTTTCACAGACTATATACATTTTTAGTGTTAACATTTTGATAATATAATTCCTTAGTTCCATAATTTACACATGAGAAATAGTAGATAATATTATTACTATTGTTATTTTGTTAAAATATTATCAAGTAAGATTATATTTTTAAATTAGCTTTTAATTAAAAATATGTATTTTTTTATATGCAACTAACCATAGTTATGAAAATTACGTTGTATTTACTGTGTTTTTGATTTATTGTGCTACCTATATGTTTTTTTTAATAACTTACATATTATACAAAATATTAGTTATAAATTTTATTATTTATTTGTATATTATTTGTTGATATATTTTTTATAATTACTGTTTGTTTTAAATATAAATGATTTATAATATACGAGTATTATGTAAATTTATATTTTAAAATTTATTTTTAATTAAAAATATTAATTTATTTTTATCCGTCTAATTATGTTTTATAGAAACTGTATTTTATCTTTTAATTAAATTTTTTTATCTGTATGATGCATTAATTACACGTTAAATCTTAGGTGGGTTATTATATTATTTGTATTATTTATTAAAAGATGTTTATAGTCTACTGTACTAACTGTTGATTTTTTTATTACATTTTTTCTTTTTTCTACTAAAATTTGTTTACAATATTTATGTTAACTTAATCGACCAGTCGTGTTTATGTGAGTTATTTTATAATTATTATATACAATCTTTTTTTCTAAGTTTGTTGTTTTTCCCTTGGTAAAAATGTGTGTTTTCGATTCATTTTGCTACTTTTGTATTATAGTACAACATGTATTTAAGGCAGATGGTGTTTTTAATTTGTATTGTGCAAGACGTCATTAAATTAAAAAAGGAATGCTGAGAGAATAAATATAACACATTTTCAGATACTATTGTAAAAAGGTTACGGATTTTTGTTTAAAAATCATTACATTACATTAAGCAATTTTATATTAAAGCTAACCGTACACTGTTTTAGTTGTAGTACACATAAATTGTGTCTAATCAACAAATTAAATGGTTTTATGTAGCATATATGCGTTTTAGCAAGATGATAAATCGTTGTGTACAAACATTTTTCTATCACATACATAATAGTTATTTAAACGATATTAGTTAATTAAAGTACTATCAATAACTAATTTACTTACAAAATATTGTTTATATTTCTAATACTCCTCTTATAAATTGTATTCTTTTCTAACCAAGCCAGCATCGGCCAAGCGAAATTCTTAGTAAACTAAAACCTAATAATTTTAAAAAAAGTCATTAAAATATAGTTTTATCATTTGAATATGAAAATATCGGTTCAGCAATTATGGAAATATCTTCAATACTTTTTTTTAAATTAATTTTTATGGTTCGTTCTTAAGAACACACACCGTGTTTTAGAGTAGGAACATTAGTGATCATTAGTTAAAATACACCTAACAACTATTAGTATTATGAATAATATAAATTAATCATAAAACGCAGTTACCGTTTTTTTTATCACAGGCTTCAACCAACAACTTTGGAATTCACCCAGCTTTTTTATATAGTTTAGGGCATTTAGTTTTTATAATATTTCAACGCAAAAACAGAAATAGATACCGTGTGTTTTAAATTGAGTATTACTTTGTCAGGTTATTAAATTACTCTACCGGAAATAATCCTGTGCACACTTTTATAGTTGATGTTCGATTTAGACAGTATACTTAGGTATAATGATAATAATATTATCATTATTCACTAAGACTAATACAGTCTAATAGTTAAACACGTATAGAAATACAGTATAATTATTGTTTATTTTTTTACTGATAGAATGATGTGCAGTTTGGAGCAGAAGGGATGTTCAAAATTGTACAAAACTGTAAATATAGTAAGGCCGCAAAATAAAAATATTAATACATGATTCGAGTACTTTTATTGTAGACGAATTCCAGGTTGCTATGTGTGAGTAAATTAACTAGTAAATTAACAGATAATGACCATATTTTCATTATATTGTTAATTATGATGTACTTATAGGTAACTATGACAATACAATTTATGGACAGGGGAACAATTCTAATCGTATCCATCCTAATACTAAAATTTTATTTTTAAGCACATAATTGTCATTAGTTACAATGCTTTTATCGATATTTGTACTTTTATATGTGAACACTGGGCCCCCTTTATTTATTTACTTAGGGGAACGGTGTACAAAGTGGCCATAGCGGGTCAAGTAGCCACGTTGTATATTTCTGTTATTAGAGTTATCAGCTATTCAGTTCTTTTTCCATATGTTTATTATTATTATTGATCGATAAATCATAAATGATAATAAGATACACCGTTGATGAGTGAAAACTGAAAAACCGTTTTGCCCCCGGCTGATGTGAGGTAACAGTTGCGTTTAAAAAATGTTATTAAATATTTTAGCCACTCCTGAATTTAATAGTTGCTAAATGATTTACCCAGTAGTTAAAATAATAACTATAAAAAGGGCAAATTGGCCACTACTAATTATTTTCCATTTCAATTTAAGTTATTATAAGTAAGCCGTAAGGTTAGGGTTGTGGGGGAAATTGACACCGGAGGACAGCCGCCAGTCGCTTTCCAAACGTTCTCTATAATTTCGAGTAAGATTTTTGTCGTTTTTCATTTATACGGTTTTAGATAGGTTTGTTTTAGATGTAATTAATAATTTAAGGTTATACTTCAATGTACTACACTGTGTAACAACCCTGTAGCACTGTACGTATGTGTTGCAGGCGGTTCGCCCGCCCATGACATCCGCTTATGTCAACGGTGGAGGAAGGGTAGTATCATGTTGTTAAATTATATGGATTACCGTGTCAACAAAGCCTGAACTTAATATCAAATACGTTTGAAAAACAAATATAAATTTCGACAAAAACACAAATAATAACAATGTTTTTTATATGTCATTTCATCGGATATTTGCTATAACTTGTTTACATTATAATGCTAATAAATAATGCTAAATAATACAATTGTTGGATATATAATGTAAGAAAATGCACCCACTGGCCTAGTATAGTATTCAACTTTCTCGTTCTTTAACATAAAATTTGAATTAGTGTTTTCATTTGAAAGAAAAATATATATAAGATTCACTCATTATGAATTGTAAAAGCTTTTTATACTTAACAGCAACATTTTTCGTCATGCTGTCGGCAACTACAGGTACGTAAAAAAATCGAGTATATAAAACAATATCAATAAAGCTATAATATAATAAATTAAATAATAATAAAGAATTTTTAGAGAAAAACAAGTATAAAAATAGTTTAATGTTTATTTTAATTTTATATTATACATATTTATTATTTATGTTTCAGGGTCTCGTGAAGGTACCTATTCAAACGATTTAAATATAATGAAAATATAAATACTTTAGCAGTATTAACATGTTTCTTTTACTTGTTTCATATTTAAGAAGACCAGTGTTAACTTAAATTAACTAGGTACTGCTAATAAATGTGAAATTGTGTATACATTTTTATTTTTTAGGTAAGTTGGATGATAATATCAGTTTTTGTGCTTGACAAAGATAAGTATAGTAGCAGTCTTACAATTATTTACAACTGAAGACAAGAATATAATTAAATTAACCATAAATATGTATATACGATAGCCTTCTGAAATTATTGGATTTGTTAGTTACCTATAAAATAATGGGGAACATTTTATATTTTAGTAATGCTAAAAATATTATAAATGCTTTACGTTAGTACAATAAGAATACTTCTGCCATGTTCATTAGCATATTTTATAATCTTGTATGTCTATTTGTAAAATTATTTAAAAATTGAATTTCGTAGGCGTAAGCAAAGTTATAGCTATAGGTTAAAGTAATATAGGTATGCATAACTTTTAAAAATAAAAATTAAACAAGTATTTGACTTATTTTGTTCGATGTTTCAGATTTAAGAGTACCCACACTCCCAACCCCAGATAGACCACCACCCATAACTGGTAATGTTATGATAATATCTAAAATTTATTGTTGTAAAATTAATTAAAAATGTATAATTATTAATTCGCGAGTATTAGCAAAGTTAAACACTTAACTGAATTAACAGCAAAAAATTGTTAGACAGAGGTACTTGGAATATTATAATTAAAAAAAAGCCAGTACAGCGGGGACGGGGAGGTTACAGGCTTACAGGAATTTTTACAACTTAAAGTAATAAAATCACTTTCAAATAAACGCTTCGGTGCGAATCAGTAGTTAGTATTTTCAAGCCAGTACATAATAATATAACAATATAAAATAATAACGATAAAATATGTACTTTAATTTAAGTCATAAATATTCAAAATAGGTGCATTAAATATTTCTTATAAATTTTAACTCGATTTGACCCTTTTTATCGAAATTATAGCCAGTTAAAGTTGAAACTTTTAAACTGATATGTTTTTCCAAATTTTAACTGTGAAGAAGTGAACTTTTTCAACTGTTACCACCCCAAAAGTACCAACTAGATCAAATTTATGATTTATAGAGTTGCTACTCGAAGGAGTTGGTCCAGTAATAAAAAAGTTACAGTGTTGTATACAGACACAAAAAAAGCTAAAATAGAAAAAACAATTATTTGGAGATATTTTGTTCGATGTTTCAGATGCGCGAGTTCCCTTAAGACCACGACACTCAAATGGTAAGTTGGACGATAATATCTAAAATTGATTGTTGTAAAAATAATTACAAGTATAATTATTAATTCGTGATTATAAACAAAGTTATAGTTATAGTTAAAGTAATATAGGTATAAACTATAAAAAATAATATACGTATAGGCTATAAAAATAAAACAGAATAAACAAGTATTTGACTTATTTTGTTCGATGTGTCAGTTAGAGAAGTATACGGACCATTACCATCTATCCCAACACCAACACCAGCACAACCACAACGACCACCATCACCACCCAACGATGGTAAGCTGGATGATAATATCCATCTAAAATATATTGTTGTAAAATTAATTAAAAATCTATAATTAATAACTCGTGAACATTAGCAAAGTTACATACTTTGGATCAACAATTAAAAATTATTATACCAAAAGAGGTATTTGAAAAATAAAAAACAAAATAGGAAAAGACAACTATTTGAGTTAGTTTTTTTTGATGTTTCAGTTCAAGAAGTACCCGTAGTACATCCACCATTCAGCAGTTGAGAAATAACTAAAGGTTAGATAAAAGTATATATAATGCAATTATATTGTATGGCGCACGAGGTTAATGCATCCGAATAAATTTAATGTAAACCACTTGAGACTTTCGTTCTCTAATAGAGGTATAAAGGAACGAGTGGGATATTTAGCTAAGTTCATGAATAAACTATAAATAAATAAATATTATGCAATTCGGTCATTTTTTTACTACGAGCATCTACTACTTATCAGCACAATGTCGAGATTACTTCGAGCACTGATCGATATAAGTGAGTCTATAAAAAGATTATCATGAGGCTTTTAATCATTTAAGGTGTATTCGAGATTGATCATAGATAATATATATAAGCCATTTATACATTTTTAAAATGCAATAATCTCAGTTAAAAACGTAGAGTGCTACATTCCGATAATACAGAATGGAAGAAATGGCAGAATTTTATTATTGGAGTTTATCGACGAAATGTTTTACATTACTTGAATAAAAATGTTAACATCCTGCACGTGGTGACTTATAAAGAAGCCTAACTTATATAAACCACAATATTAATGTATTAACTAATTTTAGTAAACGATTACGTTTATACACAGTCATTTAATATTTAATTGCTTTTTAGACAGTTCGCGCTAATGCCAAATTATTGTGTACAAACATAGCTAAAATATCCAAGATCAATGCCACATCATGAAAATAAAAATATTTACTAAGTAATTTTTAAAATGTATAATAATATCATTGTTTATCATTATATTGTAATAATACAATAATATTTAATAATACCCCTATTTTTCTAATCAACTATTCCAAAACACATTTTGTTATTAAATAATATATTACTATTTACTGTGTCGTTACATATCTACCAATAAAAATAATATTCATTGAATAAGTAAATTTGTAATTTATTATTTAGTGTATTATAATAATTTGTTTCTACTTAGTGTTGGTACAGTAATATTACATATATTATGGTCAACTCAAAATGCAGAGCACAATTTGCATTACCTAAACTAAACGGAATGAACGTACTTACGCATCTTAAGGCTATTCTGGTACTACTATTAGTATGATGTTGATGTTTATAGTGTTAGGAAAATAACACTAACGCTAGAAATTAATAAAGTTATGACTTCGTAGCCAATTTGTTACACCTTAGTATGAAAGTAAAACACAATTAGATTAATGTAAATAATAATATTCGCTGATGTATGGCGGACAATCTCCACCATATATATTTATATACACTGCTGATACGTAATACTAAACATTGAAAAATGTAGAAAAATATGTACCTACTAGTACGGGGAAAAAACCATTTCAATAATAAAAGTAAATGTTTAAAACTGTTAAACCAATATTTCAAGGTAGGTATATCAGAAACATTTATCCTGCGCTGTTTCGCCTATGTTGTAGGTAATGTTTTTAGAAGTTAATATACATTTTTTTTATGTTATGTTGGTGGTTTTTCTCGTATTACAGAATATATTTCAAACATAAATTATTTAGTCGCCATAAAAATGAAAAACAATGTAATAATTATTATATGGCTTCATTAGACACGCCGTTGGACGGAATAAATAAAACTAATACTAAACAACTGTCCTATTTTTTCCTTCAGTGGTTGTACAGTTTTAAGATTTTGATGGAATTAAAAAAAATTATCATACGACATACATCTATTTTTTTTTTTATATTTTAGTCAAATAATTTTATATTTTAGTAAATTAAAACGAGAAAAAAAATTAGTTTTAAACAATTACTAAAAACGAAGCTAACGACAAACCGACGTTCAAGCAAAATCTATTAATTCAACAGTGGATATTTATATACAAATTATAATAACCCAATTTATCTAACTAATTGATTTAAAGTCTTTCAAATGCTTTACGGTTATTGTAGAAATCTAATTTTTTTTTAATATTTCAAAAGGCTGCGGATCTTTTGATTGACGTTATAAACTTCAAAGTTCAGTCAAATTCTCTTTTACCAAAAAAATAGCTTAACCAGCATAACTAAATTAATATACAGGTTGCTATAAGAGATTCCAAAATCACCCCTCTCTAAATCCTGGTACCCAAGGGTGGAAAAATCACAATGACCTTGAAATATCATTGTATGGTAAAAAATAAAAAATGATTCACATAGGTGGTTTTATCATAACTTTAAAAAAATCGTCAACAAGTCATGTTGGCCTTGAAATTCTAAAGACCATGAATATTCGTCGTACACCGTTATTAAAATGCAAGTTTACCATGGGTATCTAAAAAATAGACACAGTCTTTTGGCTTTGTATAATATTCTTAACACAAACGAGCACTGTATTTCATTTATGCAAACAGTGCAAAATTTAAACGCACACCGAATCACACAAGTGTTTTTCTAAAGCAAAAGAATTATGTTTTTGAGTAAACGCTTAGGCAAGAATTCAGTAAACAATAATTTAATAAAAAAAACCATTACGCACGGATGAAGTGAAACTTCTTTCAGAGACATTCAACTGATACACTAAACTAGCGATATCATATTATTGGCCAGACTGTAACTTTTGATTACATATAATGAATTCCAATAAGAGTTTCCAAAAATTATTCAATTTTTTATTGATTGGGTAATCTGGTAAAAATGTCTTATGTATTTTTTGTTATTCCATTCTTTATACCACGGAGTTCATTAAAAATATGTTGATAATACAAGGGGTATTATCCAATTTGGGGGTTTGAACAATTTAATCTAATTAAATTTTAAAAATGCAACTGATCACCAATTGCTTGAATAAAAATCCACCGTCAGTTGTTCCCACACGTTAGCCGAACTCAATAAACACAAAATTACAATTGAAAACGCGATATCTTTATACATAATCTTATATACATATATATATATAGTCGGTAACCTTCAGCGTTCGCACAGATTTTCCAATTGATCCTCAGCCCAATGACAAATCCATGTAAAAAAAATTAGGGGTCTCATTTTAGGTCAAGACGAACCAATAAGTCCACTAATCAACGGAATCTCGCAAAAGCCTGTTATATATATGTATATATATATACCGGGTGATACATTAATGATAATACGCTTATTTTTTTTTTGAAAACATTTTCTTACACAAACTGAAGTGTCTCCAATTACCAAAACTACAATAACTACAGGTTTTAGTAGCAAATTTGAAGGTACTTGTATATTATTGTAAGGTGTATGTTTTACAACGATATATTATTTTTTTTCCATCATCGATGAGCAAAAAGTAGTCAAAGTAAACGAATGTCGCCAAATAACGGCTGAAAACGTTTAGTACTTTTTCTGGGGGTCTAAAAAAGGTGGACTTTTTAAACATAAATGCAAACTTATACGCTCGATTTTCTTTTTAAATAAAGAATAATTTGCCGAAAATACAGAGCAATCTTTAGCAATTGATATTTTGATTATTTTTTTTATGCTAACTACTAAGAGTAACGATAATTATGTAAAATATTGAAATTTGTCATAAACAGTCGAACAAACGGTGGCCTTAGTTGAAAGTTGTTTAAGTATACTTATGATGTGAGTCTTCTTTTTTTTTTTTGCGATTCAGCTGCTACGGCTGACGATACACAAATACAAATTTATACGTCTTGGGACAAAATATATATTATAGGCAAATTGTGAAATGTAGTACCTACATTTTTTTTTATATAATTTACAAAAAGTTGTAACAGTAAATCATTAAAAAGCTCTCTTTATTGTAATATAATACATAAAAAAAAGGTAAAGGAAATAAGTAAAAAAAATCAAAATTATGGAAAAATGCAAAAAAATTAATAATCGTCATTAGCGGTTACAATTTATTAAATTTTTAAAATATAATATGGTCATCTCCAGAAAATATTTATGTACACTGATTGTATAACGATATGAACGCAGAACATTGTTGTGTCGCTTTTGACTTATTGACTTCGAGTAATATAGTTTCTGAAAAACCCTAGGAAGATTAAACTATCCTTATTATCGTCATACTGGTTAAATTTGATTTGCCAATTTTCTATAACATTCTCATTCGCTACATTAATATAATATTAAGTTATAATTTTAATTTTATGATAACTAGTACAGTCATTTGAGTAAAGGTGGAGTGGGGGGTATAGGTAGCTGTCACCTAAAATTCTGGTGTCCGGTTTAGATTTAACTAACTAGCTTAAAATTAAAACAACAAGCATCTGGTAGCAAAAATAATTGCAAAATATTAAAATTAATCATTTGGTAGCAGGCTTAATCTTTAAATTGAATTTCCTCAAAAACATGATTCGTACTAATTGTATGCAATAATTATAGGCTAATTTTGAGTACATTATTGCCTTCACAGTGCTTTTATCAATACCTATTTCATATTTCTACTAAATAAAATATACTATCGGCGGCAATGCCACATTAACAATTTTATGCCTTTTTTAAGAAAATTATTTTATCAACCAGCAATTGTTTTCGTCTAAATTTCTTCCGTTTATTTTTCCTTTAATCTTAATTATTTTTATTACAATTTTCGCTGCTTAAATACTTTTTTAAAAACACTATCGACATTTTCAATTTAACAGTATTTGCTTCGTTTGATTATCAAACCGCAAAAAACTTCATCACACATCCTGGTTCAAGATACAGTGATAGATTTTATGAATTGTTTTTCTAATATGTACTGTTTTTTTTTTTAAATTATTATAACTAGTTAGTAATAATTAGTACATTTTTAAGACATGTGGTTCTAACTACTAGCGTTTAGAAGAATATGAAAAGACTTTCGAGATCGATTATAGCTGTAGTAAAGTTTTTACTTATTAAAACAAAAAGTTGTGTTTACTTAGTATACCATAAGTTTTTTCTAGAATGGGGCACATAAAATTTACTTAAAAATCTGTAGTGGAGCTTTGTTTTATTAGGGAAAAACCAAACTAAAGGGGGGAATTACGATGTTACGGTAGTAGGTTTGTAGGTTGCAATGAGTAAGGGTGAATCAACAGTCAATAGCTGGTATCTGAAATATATTTGCATTATGCTGTAGGTTTTTTTTTGTCTCTATAGACTGCTACTTTTTTAGGGGGGCAAAGTTTTTTTGTGTTTTTAGCCGTAACTATAAGACCTATAAGTTGAAAACATTTTTCAAGAGTCAGAACGCATAATATTATTTATCCATAACATATAATACGAATAAAAAAATTCGGGAGTACATTTTTTTTTTTAATTGCCGGAAAACTGTTTTTTGTAGGTGTTGAATGTTTAAAAAAAAATTATCAAGTCATGCCAATGAATTTTGACGGATACTGTTTAGAGTGGTCCCGGTAAGTTTTGAGTGCGTTGTTACAGTTAACATTGACAATTTTATACACTGTTTTTGTCGTTAGATCGACGTTTTTTTCTGCCTAAAATGTATGAATATTTATCGATGGAAAAAAAAAATGTACTCAGACATTCTCATGTGTGCACAAGTGCCGAAATTCTATGTTTTTTTGAAAATATTTTCGATTTATTACAGCCTTAGCATTTTCAATATAAAATGTGCTATTAACAAAGTCGTACATGGAAAAACCGAAATTTTGACAACCCCCCAAACCCCCGCGAGAAAGGTTGTCGTATTTTTGGCCCATTTTTAAGATTTAAGAACTGATAATTAGTCTGAATATAGGTCTAACAAACAGCATAAAACATCAGTGTAGGAATG